GGTGTTCAGCCAGTCCATAAGCGTGGTTATACCAGCAGGCCCTAGTGTGGATGCAATTTCTGCAGTCTTTGGGAGCGTTTCTTCCCAGGTGAGAACAGGTAGTTCGGGCTAAGCTGCTTTCATGGCACACCGGGCTCTGCGGGCCGTGAAGTCTCTGCTGCGAGCTGCCGCCGGGCTCCCGCGGTTGTCTCTGGTAAAACCAGAAGCGACCAGCAGCAAGAGGCCTTGTTACGTGCTTCTGGGGATCGTGTTGTGATGCAAAACACTGCTGTGGTTGTGTTTAGGGCTGGGCACTTCCAGCTCACCCGCCTGTGCCCAGGCACCACCGACCTGCGTCAGCCCAGAAGGGCTGTCCCAGCAGGGCAGGCTCCGGGCTCCCCGCTCTCCTGCGCTGGCTGGGTGCTGCCCAGGGAAGCTCAGGCTTTTTGCCGGGTTTGGGGGTCTTTGCCCCTCTCTAGCTGCTGAGAGCAGGGTCGCCTCTCCGCGCTGCCGTACGAGGGGGGATGATGTGGGTTGCTCTGCTTTGGCCGCGTTGCTTTGGAGAGGGAATGCTGCAGAGTCGTCGGTGCCAGGGCGGGGAGTGATGCTGCGGGGTAGCTCCCGCCCAGCCCAGGGGGAAGCCATTAGGGTTGTGCCCTCCAGCTCCCCACCGAACTTTCTGGAGGACGTGGGCTGGGGCGGGTTTCCTACTTCTCACATCAAGATAAAAGAAAGCACAGGAGAAGCAGCTTTTAAGAGGCTTAAAAGCAACAGGCTTTCTCTTCCTCCTGGGAAGGGCACACAGCCAACATCTTGCTCTTCACCTATCTCTCTTAATAAGTGGAGTATTGCATTAAGCGTGACTGAGTCTGCCAAGTCCGAGCGGAACAGCTCTGCAGGCCCTGCAGCTGCCTCCACCCTGGCGCACGTGTGGCTCTGAGATCCCCTGGCTGTCACCCTGGTGGCTGCCATCCCCGCTGGTCACGGCGGCAGGATTGACTGCCGGCTCGGTGCTCCACCTGACGGTGTTCCTGGAGCGGCTGGTGGAGCGGGTGGCTGGGATTGCCTCCTGGTCTCCTCAGCTCCTGAGTTTTCTCGTCAGCGGCTTTGATGCTGCGGGGAGTAAGGCCGGGGAGCGTTGGAAGACGTTGTGGGAAGGCAGCGCCTGAGCGGTACTGGGAGGAGATCTGTTACCTTAGAAAAGCTGTGGGCTCAGCGGGCCTGCGAGGGCGAGGAAAGCTCCCTGGCAGGCCAGTGTCCCCAGGTAAGGACTCGAGGATGCTCTAGTTGGGCTGGGCTCGTCCAGGAGCCCTGCAGGCACGGGGACTGGAGAGTCCGAGGCTCCTGGGTGTGCAGGGTGGGTTGGTTGGCTGCTTTCAGAAGAACAAGGCCTCCTTTTCTTTACATCCCCAGTGAAGCTAAAAAGAGCACGGCCCAGTTTTTGTAGCTTTGTAGGTCACTGAAGGAGAAGGAGAGCTCTGCAGTGCGCTGCGCTTCGGGTGCTTTCCCCCACCTGGAAGTGCTCTGTGCCCCGGCAGCTCTGCTGTTCCGCTGCACGGGCCGGCTCTCCTTCCCCTGGCTCTTAAGGAAGAAATCGGAGAGAAAAGCAGGAGGAAGATGACCCCCAGCCACCCCTGTGTTATGCTTGGAAGCTGTGTGTCTGCAGCCTACCACTTAACACCTCCGGGGAGAAATATTAGTAAACACAGACACCCTGGGGAGACCCGATGCCAGGCCAGGCTTTGCTCGTCTCGGGGGGTATTGAGTGGCTGAGACACCGGGAGGCTGTGCTGCCATTCAGCAAGACCTGGGCAGGCTGGAGAGGTGGGGCAC